GAGAGTTCTTCTTCTTCCTCTTCTAAGTCCACCTTCTCTTCTCACCCTCTCGCCACCTGACTTCTCAGACTACGACAGAGAGAGACARAGTTGTGACTTGAGACTTGACGACATTGGATCCAGACTTGACATTTGGGATTCAGACATTTCGACGAGGGACTATTTGGGCCTGTGCCGAAGACCTGGTGTTGACGACATTCCCATCTTCTCCCTCCTCTTCGTCTATCCCCTTCCTCTTCGTCTGTGTATGGTATGGGCTGGCGTTGTCTTCCTGTGTGAAGCGCCAGACCCCTTCACACCATGTAACGATGATGATGATGTATGTTCAGGGCTGCATTACAACATTGATTGTTTGGATCACTGGTATCTAAGTCTCCCGCTGTGTTATCTTGTACTTTGTTATGAAAGGTCGGTTCTTGTTCTGGTCTGCACGTTACAGTATGCAACAGATACTGACGCGACACCCCATCATACACCACACATGTGAGAGGAAGAGGAGATGGGGGGGAGGCGAGACGAAGATGGAGATGAGGGAGAGACCAAGATCGAGATAGCGAAGTCGAAAAATAGTCTCTCTGCCAAATGTCCAATCAATGTCTGCCACAAAATGCCGAATCAGATCCTGGGCCTCATGCCCGGTGCAACCTCTGCCTGTAACCTCTCTCTCTCTCTCTCTCTCTCTCTCTCTCTCTCTCTCTCTCTCTCTCTCTTTCTCTGGGCGAGATCAAGAAGAAGAAGAGGATGTCGCCCTCCTCGCTATCTCACCCGCAGGTAACTGCCGCCATGTACTAACTGTCGCCGCGTGTCTCCTCTGTGCTGCAGGGCGCTGGCGTGAAGACCATCTATGGCACCCAGGTGAGATCTCCGCCGATACATGAATGGCTTCCGCCTCACTCCCTACCTACACCTCTACCTGTATGCCTTTGGTCCTAGGCCAAAACGTGGCCTGCCTGGGTCCCTACCGGACGTCCAGGCCCTCCCTGCTGATGCAGCAGGGAGTGTCCGCAACTGGACAACAACGGACCTGGCCCAACAGGGCCTGCCTACGTCCGTACCAGGCCAAAACGTGGCCTTGTCCGAACAGACCGAAAGGCTGTTTTGACAAACTGCAAGTCCGAAATGACGCCTGAACAGATAAAAATAGGACAGCAAATAAATAAAAAAATAAATAAATGCTGCCTCAACTTGAAAGCTGCAGCTCTTAGCCCGGCCGTGGGCCTCCAGGGCGCGCGTCTGAGGGGTGTGCGGCCTGGGGCCCCCCAGCAACCGTAAGGCCCCCAAAGTGGGGCCCGTGTGCAGGCTCAGCATCTAACACGCCCCCCTCCTTATGAAGTCAAGCCAAGTCGAGGGCGAAGTTGATGATCCGATGGTGGAACCTGGACGTGAGTAGGGCGGGGAGCCAAAGGTACCAGCTTGCCTTGCTGTTTGCGTTCGTAACGTGNGGCGGGGAGCCAAAGGTACCAGCTTGCCTTGCTGTTTGCGTTCGTAACGTGCGAGGACATCAGGGGCTGTGGCTTGAAGTTCCGCACGTGTCAACCAACGGTCAGCCTTATGGCTACAATAAGCAAAGTGTACTAAGTACTCCGCCGTAGCACCGGTGCGAAATGATGTCGCTAACCTCCTGAAAACCGTCCATGGAGGGTGGGTCTTGCGATTGTCGACGGGGAAAGTCATCGCATTCCGCCGAGAAACGAAAAGAGCCAACTTTGAGCCATGAAAGACCGGGTAGGTGGGCAAGTGGGCGGCCACCTGAATGACAAATGATGGTCCTTCGGGTGCGTCACCAGCGGGTGCCACAATGCACCGAGGCCCCATCCATTTCGGAAGGAGCTTGCAAGAGATATGTTGTTCGAGGCTGAATTTCGTGGCGGAGGCCCAAACAAGGTCGCCAGAGCGGAATGGACAAGGAAGACGTTAGCAATTGGCCTGATGGCTCATGCTTTGCTGCGTCTTCGACATCTGGTTGTGTGCCAAGCTCTTGCATCCGTCGAATGAAAATGAGGTGGTCGTCCCTCTCGGTCGCTCGTGGGATGATAGTGTCCAACGGCGATGTGACTGGCGAGCCATGCTCGAACTCAAAAGGCGACATTCCGGTAGCCGGATGAATGGATGAGTTGTAAGCCTACTCGACGTCCGGCAGCCGCTCAACCCAATCCTTTTGGTTGGGACGGATGAATTTGTGAAGAAGAACCTGTGCGGTTTGATGCACCCTCTCCGTTTAGCCATCGGTTTGTGGGTGGCGAGCCAAACTCCGCTTGAGAGATGAGCCCCATCATTTGATGAGCGCCAACCAAAAGTCGGGCATGAACCGAGTGTCGCGGTCGCAGACGATTTCCTTGGGGTAACCCTTGGTACGAATCCAACCGGGGTAAAGAACCTCGGCCAACCGTGGTGCCTTGGCGTGATAGCGACAAGGCAAAACATGGTGAACTTGGTGAGTCGATCGACCACCTTGAGAATCCCATCCACACCGGTTTTGTGCATGGGGAACGGCCCGGTGATGTCCATGGCAATCAGTTTCCGTCTTCCTAAGAGGACCGGTAATGGTCACAACTTGCCGAACGAACAATGATTGTGGGATTTGCAGCGTTGGCAAACCTCGCATGACTCGCAATAGAGTGTGATGTCGTCGAGAAGGCCGGCCACCAAAAGCGCTCGTGAAGTCGGCCAATCGTATGACTGACTCCAAAGTGTCCGGTGGCGGGAGCTTCGTGGAACTCGCCAAGAAGCTGTGTACGCAAGTGTGGGTCACTTAGCACGCAAAGAGGATCCTTCCCCCACGAGTGGACTAGCAAATAGCCCTCTTGGATCCGATAATGTGATGGCGCAGGATTTGGAGAGGAGCAATTCGCGTACTCGGGGTCGACTTGGTAGCCGCGGAGGAAGCTGTCCCGCAAGTCGTCGTCAACCTCGAACATCAAGTAGACCGCGGTACAAAAGTTCAGGCGCCGTGAAAGGGCGTTCGCAAAACGGTTTGACTTTCTCGGAATGTGATCGGGAAAGAAGTCAAACTGGTCAATGGAAGCCATCCAACAGGCGATGGTACTATTCACCGCCTATGAATCCCCCTCGGCGGCGGCCATGCGCGGTCGAGGCCACGGCTGCGGCTTAGGCCGCGACCCCACGGCCATGAAAAAAAAAAAAAAAAAAAAAACTGGGAAAAAAAAATGTTATGCAGAAAAATAAACTGAACAACTTTTGCCTTGTGGTCATATCCAAAAACTTTACTGAATTTGAAATAAAAAACACATAAGTTTCATAATTTTTCTTAAAAAAAAAAAAA